GCTATTCTATAAATTAAATTATTCGATAATATTCTTAGCATTTTCAACTGTTAATTTCGAAATATTTTTTAGGTGAATATTGCTATTCTATAAATTATTCGATAGCACCCTTAGCATATAACAATTTTCAATGATTTTTATTCTTAAAAAAAAAAAAAAGATGGAAATAATGATTTAAACAAAAATGAAATTTTTTTTAAAAAAAAAAATTAAAGCGATTAATCGTTTTTTTTTTTTTTGCTTTTCAATTTTCGCATTTTTGTTAATTGTAAGAAAATCTTTTCACATCATAAAAATATTTGTCGGAATGATCGTATGCTTTAATTTTTTTTTTTTTTTCTTCGGAAAACATTTAAAATTTCATTTTTTCCCAGTATTGTTCTGCTTAACGGAAGTAAAAAATAAAAAGAAAAAAAAAAAACGAAAATTTTTCTTTCAAATATATCAACAATTATAATAAACATAAATTAAATATTCGTTATGTTGAAATTAAATAATATTGAAATTAAATAATTTCATTTCAAATTTCAAAAAGCATGAATAGATTAAAGGATTGGGAAAAAAGTAGTAATTTTAATTAACTAACAAGTTTGTAATGGTCTTCATCATTACTATAGTACTTAATAAATGTTCCATCATTCAAGCGTCGTTTGATTGATTTCGAATACTGAAAAGTATTTCAAGTATTTTAGGAGTAATTTAAGTAGTTTTTCAATAGAATTAAATTTTTAAAGAAATTTAATTAACACTAAAGTTAGTGTAATCAATTGCAAAAATACGAATTAATGTTTAATAATATATTGAAAAATAATTGAAATAAATTAATTTACAAGTACTTGAAATAATTTTTTCTAATATTTCTATCAGATTGATTTGTTCAATCAAAACATCGAATTACTTTGAAATTAAATCGTTTCACGAAGACGAAATTTCTCATTCCAAGCACTTAATTGCTTTTAAACAAGAAACTTAATTAGTTCCAACTTTTATAACTGATATGCATAGTGAAGCAACTAATATTGCTTCGATTAATTAAATTCGTAATTTTAATTATCAAAGATTGAATGATGCAAAACAATGCGACACTTATGAATTTCTTATCATTGGACTGAAATTAGTAATTGAAATTGAAGTGAGTAATTTCAATTTAAATCAAATTTCAGCTTGTAAATTTTAGTTTAGTTGGGAATTTTCAATTGCATAATTTCCCTTTCTCCTTTTTAAATGACTTTTCCTAATAGCTAATTTGAAATGAATTTTATTTTTAAATAAGAAAAAAAAGTATGTCATCGAGTAAAAATTTTTTAAAAGATATTTGAGGAAAAATTGATTTGTCAATGAAAAAATAAGTAATTTTTTTCTTTTTTCGTTACCCTTAAAAAGAGCGAATTTAAATTGTTTGAATTCTACAAATTATTTCATTCGATTAATTTCATTTCATTCCTTTTTTCAATACTTTTTACTGGAAGTCCTTTCTTTTACAATAATTCAAGAATTAAATTAAAAAAAAATTCTGTCAAAAAATGAAACACTTTTCTGCATTCTTTGTTTATTAAAAATCAATTTTCTTTTTTAGAATTGAAAACAGTTCTTTTTTGAAAGTAATGTTTTCTTTGATTATTTAATTGACGATAGAACATTATTATTATATTATTAATATTACTACTATTACTACTATTATTATTATTATTATTATTATTATTATTATTATTGTTATTGTTATTATTATTATTATTATTATTATTATTATTATTATTATTATCACTATTATTGTTATTATTAATTATCATTGTTATTATCATTATCATTATTATCCATTTATGAGCTTAATTTCAAATTAATTACCTTTTCAGCACATTTTGCATCGCATTGCGCTAATCTAAAATAGTGAACAAAATCAATTTGTACATAGGGTAGTACCGTAAACGCTTTTAGTGTTGCCGCAATTAGTACCAAGAGTGACATCTGTGACCACATCATGGAAATATTATCCTTAAAGTGGATAATTTGAAATGTTTTGAATAAATGATATTTCAAACAATTTTTTTCACATCTTTTTCAGAAATAAAATCATTTCGATAAAATCTAGCGAGCAAAAAAAAAAATTATAATTTTATCGGAAATTCTGAAAGTTAAAAATTGAGAATTCTAAAAATTTTTTTGTTTGTCCAAAATTTTCATCGGAATTTTAAGTGTTTCGGAGATTTTTAGAAAAGTAATTCGAGATTTTAAAGAAATATCATAGGATATTTTCAATAGATGAATGAAAAAAGTAAGAAGAATAAATTGGTCGTTTAATCGTTAAGAATTCATAAAATTCAATAATTCCGGTAGTAAAATTAATTTATAAACTTAACTTAATTTATAAATTCAATAATTCCGGTAGTAAAATTAATAAGTTATT